AATAACTTGAGGGTCTTAACATTGGTTGTGTTCTGGTAAATAAAACATATGTAAAAAAAATCATATATATTTACATTTTAGATATTTGCTAAATTGATTCTTGAATTAGTTCCACAACTTCCTATTGTTCTTAATAACCATTTGAATTGTTGTAGTCTTGCAGCTGATTTCTTTTTTTACTTTAAGTTTATGCTTATCATCGACTATACACCGACTGTAGCAGACGACAAGATACAAACGAGGACTTACATATGTTAACTATATGCAGTGAATATTCACTTGAGTGGCTCTACGATTACAATTCAGAAAAGTCCGGCGCCATTGTGTTTAACAACCGTAACAAGCACCCAGCAGAAAAAGTGTGGACATTAGGGTCACAATACGTAAATGAAGTTGACGAATACACACACATTGGGATTATCTGTGATAAACATTCATCTTCAAAGAAATTCATTCAAGATGCGTGTTCAAAACTCAAAACCTACTTAAGCATCGTGAACAGTGGTCTACACCCGTAAGGTCTTAATCCGTTGACATACAAACCTATATATGCATCGGTAGTTATACCCAAGACTATGTATGGCTGTGAATTACTAAATAGTTATTCCAAAACTGATATGAACTTACTTGAACGTTCGCATAGATTTTGTATTGGGACTCAAAGGAAAAACAAACACGAACTACAGTCTAGCTAGATATAGAATCATTTGAAACTATAATAGACAGTAGAAAATTAACATTCTTTGGCCAACTCTGTCGACTACCGACTCGATATATGGCTAAGACTGTCTTCTTGAATCGATATTTGAACTGCGACGAACAAATAATGGGGTTTATTCCAGATGTCTACAGGATTCTAGTGGAATACAACCTATTACATGTGTTACAAACATACACCTCAACCGGAAGATTTCCATCTAAATGTCAGTGGAAAAATGTGATAAAAAGATGTGTCGCGATGCCTGCTAAATATGAAAGAGTTTCTCCCCTCAGGTCAACAATCCATTTGCACTATTCTCTCGTGAAAAATGTTCAGTATCGTGGACCATGTTCTAAACTTTTGAGTGAAATGATAATTCGACAAACACTTTGGTCCTACATGTTTGAAACTATGGGGATTAATGCGTATGCAGAATGGATAATGTGTGCTCCAGAAAGACAGACGGACCAGATTACAGCGTTGGCGTCTAATCAAGCGACTTGCGGCCAGTACACACTCTTGAAAATGCTCCATAACATGTTTAGAAATACATTTTTATATTCTATAATTTGGACTGTGTAATGTATATTCATGAACCTATATGTTCGCATTTAATGCTATACTTGTATGATAAGGTTACATGTACATGATTTAAGACAAACGATATTGTATTAGCATTTGTACCAAAGTGTCAAATATTTTATGTCATTTCAGAAGCCTATACTTTTCTCGATTCGACCAGCATAGGCTATCGTTTAATATGGCAGACCTGATACCATAAAATGTGCCTAACATAGACCAAGTTCTTTTCGGCTTTAAGATAAGACATAATGTTGTATTTTAAAAGAAGTACACGAATCTATATGCAAAAATCGTAAACAGTTATTCAAAGTCAAAATGCAATAACAAAGTAGCAGTAATAGTAATATTTCTATACTAGCATTAATTCATATTGTTCAATTCTCTTAATATTGATTTATTGTACATTTTTACTGCACTCGTATACTATGAAAGAAACAACAATTTTCCAAACTTGTCTCTCCATGCCAAGATAAACAAGCAATTATCATAGTATTGCAAGCAATCCATAAGTTCCCTACCGGTTAGAACCCCAGCAACATTCTGAAGGGCCATTGGCCATTCACTTATGTTTCTAATTTAAGTTCATTTGTTGAAAAAGTTCTTTAAAAGTGTTCACAGAAAACAGTTTTTATGTACAGACAGACAGACGGACTGAAGGACACTCTAAAGCCATAACAACTATAATTTTAAACATACGAAAAAAAGAAAAAGACGTGCATAATCTCCATACTGCCATCTATCCAAATATTTTTCCTATTAATATCTTCAGTAATTTTTGCGTTATCACGGGATCCAGTTTTGTGGACGGACTGACTGACTGACTGACGGACGGACGGACAGAGGGTAAACCTAAAGTCCCCTCCGGTAAACCGGTAGGGGACTAATTAAAGCATAATGTTTTCAATTCTGATAATAAATGACTTCTAAATATCCAACCCAAAGCTCTATTACCATTTAAAATTTATTGTTAAATACATTAATGAGCCGCGCCATGACAAAACCAACCTTTTTGAGATGACAAGCCATCAGCATGGATCTAGACCAACCTGCGCATTCTATGCTTAAACTTTAACAACGAGTTATATGCATCCTTTTGTGGAGAGAAGCTTTATGTAATTCAAACACCTGATGGCTTATGCTCATAATATTACATATGCATATATTTTTTACTATTATTAGGAAACCTGAACGTGGTTTATGTACGTTGTATATTATGTCAATGTCTTTATACTTGTATATTCTGTATGTAGATATGTCTTTCTCTTAAAATTTGGAGAAATAATCTATCTACTAAATTCGTAAAAATTCTTACTTCACACGAGCTTATTATACATAATACATATACTTGACAGTCAATAATCTTTATGTGGGGTCAAGCAAACAAAATTGTCAATATGGAGGTATGAAATTTCCGACATGGGTAAAACCTAACGGAAACACCAGTTTGATATGCAAGAAATTATTATACAAATAAATAATAAAAATGCAGTCTCGTTAATATTTATAAACATTCAAACATGTTTTTATTGTCAAGATAACGAATATAGGAATAAAGGTTAGATTAAGACTCATTATAGGCCTGGTCACACCGCGAGAACTTTGCTGGAGCGTTCCTGGAGCGGTAAAAAGAATTCATCACCGCTCGTTACCGTTCATCAGAAGTTGGCCCCGTTAAGGCAACGCCGTATACGCTCGGTCACCGCTTATGGCCCCTCCTGCCGCTTCGAAAGTATTGAGCTGCTCAAAATATTGAGAGCGGATAGAAGCGGGCAATTAATTAACCGCTCCGGCAAAGTTCACCACCGCTCCAACAACGCAGCAGTCCAAGTTTGGTACCGCTAGACGTTAGTTCGTGGACGTTTGGGCCCGCTAGGCTAACGCAGAAATCTTGAACGCTGGACCCCCGCTGCTTAACCAGCCTTGCCCGGGCGGTGATTAAACGTTACACAAACTTTGGTGGAGCCGTTGTACGCGTTTTACAAGCGGCACGGGATTGTTGGAACAGTGTTGGGCTTTGAAGCAGCGATCAATTGCGGTGATAAACTTTGGTTTGGCGTTTGCATGGAGGTGTCGGAGCGGAACCAGAATTCAGCTATAATTACGGAGCGAAATGGATCAGGAGCCCATTTGGAATTGAGCTGCCGTTGAGTGCTACCTCATTTCCATCGAATTTGCTCAAAGTAACAGTAAAACTGGACTACCATGGATGTTGATAAACTATCTATGATTGGTGCACTAGTCCAGCAGCAGAATCAGAATCTCCTCAGATTGCACGATTTTCAAGCTGTTGAGAGAGAAGAAGGAGAGACAGAAATGTGTGGGTCAGACAGTGGATACTGAGAAGGCCTGAACATGGACTGTATGACAAGCTGATGGTGAAGCTGAGGGATGATCAAAGCGATCCGTTCAGCATCGTAGTCAAACGCCGCTCTTGCAGCACTCCCGTCACCGCTGAACCAACGCTCGCTACCGTTAAGCCAACGCTATTGAAACGCCGGCTTCAACGGTCTACCGCTAAGGCAACGCCCGTGTTTTCGATTTTTTTCCCATTTTGTGCGCGGTGACGAGTGTTGTCGAAATTCGGTCCCCTATCCCTACAGTTCAAGGAACGCTCCAGCAAAGTTCTTGCGGTGTGGCCGGGTCTATTGTTAGTAATAGGTCAAAATAAACCCAACTCGCCAGTAATATCAATTTAAACACATTAACATAAGTCAATTAAACATTTTCCTGATTAAAAAACTGTTTGCGCCGTCTTTGCTTGTTGATCTTGTTCATCATATTTTAGTTATATTGAGGCGTGCAGCATATACCACTTAAATACCTCTGTTCAACATTTAATTTTTGTATCAAACTCTGACTATTACGATAGAGATTTAAAATGATTCAATGTATTTATGACGGCGTGTGCCGGGTAACATAGGTAGCATTCTTTGAAGATCCTGTATGTTTTGTGATTGATATTGGTTTAGAATTTATAGAAAATAAATTTCTAATTACCTCCGTTTATTTACATGAAATGTTAAATTCGGTAATATCTTTATAAATAATGCTTATTGGAAATTACAATATCGACAAATCTTAATTTGAGCATCATATCTATGAAATAAAACCATGAAAGAAATTGTGTAACAGGATCTTTAAATTTCGATGAATGGATCAACTTTGGATGTAATTGGTTTTTATTTAGCATTGACACGCACAGTTACTTTTGTCAGACAAAATTTTAAAAGAAACTAGAAAACATTTGGTTAAACGTGCACATTTTTTAAATGAGCCAATCATAAGCGAATGTTAGTAAACTGTTAACAAGTATTGTCTAGATTAAGGTTAATTTTTACCAAAAATCAAAACATTATTAAAATGAGATGGCGACGCCATTTTGAAACGAACGTAACGTTAGGTTACAACGGGGAAAATATTATTTTAATATTTGTACATTATTATTGATTTTTCGGAAAAAAGAAATAAAAACTTGTCTCAATGCTTTACTTGATAAAAATTTAGATGAGTATACTACATGTATTATCATCTAATACAAAATTAGTAAATGCTTAAAATTTGATTGGACAAGCTACATGTAAAATTAAATGGTAATATTTTAACGGATTTTAACAAAAAGCGTCAGCCAGCTAAGTTGTTGAATATTATCGTCAAAATGCAGATTAAATGTTGTAAAAGTCAACGTGGCTAGTTTGAATAAATAAATTGTATGTTCTACCTTTCAAGTACCAGTTTGAATTTGTTCCACAATTCAGCGTTGTATTAGCGATGACATACTTTCCCATTAAACTGAACCATTCGCCCAAAAAGTGAAGGTATTTATCACAAACAGGTTTTTCATCCTTTACAAGCTTGTATCCAATAATTCGTTGATTTATCATAGGCAGGTCAGTAGCAGTATCACATGGGTCTGTCAATTTAGATATTATTAAAACATATCTGATGTCATTGTTTGTAAATTGATTTTTTGAATTACAGATCAGATTAATAAGTGTGTTGAAAATAAATTTTAGTGTATCTCTTTTTACAAAATATGTGTCAGATTTATATACCTATGGATTTCGGATATATGTGTCCCAGTCGTATTTGTTTCACTGTACACTTTCGTTATCGTCCATCCATCATCGGTTTTTCAAATATTTTTATTTGAAGAAGAAAATTGGTAAAAAAAACCTGGTTACGTAATTGCTCGTAAGTATCTTACTTAAAAAACAATAATGATAAAAATTATAACAATAAAATTAAGCCTATTTCAGTATAATAAACAAACTTACCTGAACTTAAAGAAGAAACGGTAGTTACTTGAAATATGGTTAGCAAAATCGGTAAAACAACAGCAGTAAACATTGTGCATGGTCGAGAAGTCAACTACAACTGACTAAAAACGATCGGAAGAAAAAAAATTAAATTCACAGGTGCTTGATTTTTTAAAAAAAATCTTTTATCTTATAAAAATCTTGAAAATACCCCTTCAGAGAATTGGAAGATTAAAAAGAAACTGGACTATATAACTTTTGTTTTTTCTTTGTTATTTATACACAGATACAAAACTATTCAGATATCATCTAGGGATTAAAGTGTGTGTGAAAATAAATTCGTCATCGCTGTGCAAACTGTCTTAGACAATTTAAATTCTATATCGACGTTTCTATTGCAAAATGAGATTAAATGTTAGATAAATTTTTGAAAAGCAGATCAGAATGGATCAAGGCATCGTTTTAATGCGCGTGTGACAATTATCAAATACTTCCCGTTTGTGAGCTTGACTTTTAAGCAAACTGTTCATGGTTATGTATGGAGTTCGAATGTAAGGATGAAACTGAATATAGTATTATTATTATGGATAATAAAATGTGGTAAGTAAAGTTTTTGCTTTACGCGCAGTTGCTTAAATACTATTAAGAATTTAACAAAATAGTATTGATTTTATAATGATTGTCATTTTAATTACGTTTGCATTAACTTTTCTACAACTGTGTCATAGAGGTAAATATTTAATGCACTATAAGGGTAATGAATATGTTGTTTTCATGTTGTTGTTGTTGTTTTTTGTTTTGTTTTTTTTGCTGCAAGCCGCTTCAGTTACTATTCAGATCTGAGCAATTGTGAAAATCGAAGTTAAAGGGATGCATTATGACAAGGAAATTACACAATTAAATAATGGAGAAATGCCGAAGCATAGATAATACCGAGGAAACTGCAAAAAAATTAGTGGTCATGATGTAAAAATCTAGCAAAAATATTTCCAGTCTCTTTATTTTTTCAAAAATTCTATTTCAACTGAAATCGGACATAATTAAAATACCGTTTTCGGTGAGTTTATTTAAACTGATAAACGTTAATATCGGTATGACTCATTGATACTGATTTTGTTTTATATTTAAGTTCATAACATGAATCCCTGCTTATCAACCGGACATTCCAAATTTCCTAGAGACAGCATTGGTCTACGCAATGAAAACTGCACAATACCAGGCTCCCACGAGCAGATTTGTGACAAATACCTCGACTCGCCAACATGGTATATCATAGAGGGTGGCAAGTTACTTAATCATTGTCCTAGCAAGGGCTCTTGCGGGAACGCTTATCCTGCATGGATGGATGGTATGTTAATATCTTACAAAAGTTTTAACATAATTAATTTCATAACTTTGTTAGAAGGTGTGAATACACGTGTTTAACAAATGTGTATTTCTGATAATTTGTTAACGTTGTTTTTATTTTGATAGGCTTTTTGGTGTATTTCTCTGCGATTTGTCTGTATTTTCTTCGTAAAAGGTAAAAACCTGTCTTATTAAGAAAGTATATGTCTACTCTACAAATGTATTTTTAAGGCGTTTTGAGGCGTTAACCCCCTTTTTAACAATGAACAAGATATCTTTATAGTCGACAAATGTTAATATTTGTTTATATGAAAAAAATGTTTAAGTTTATGGTGTCCTTGGTACAGATCTAAAACTATGTCAAGTAATGGATCTTTTACTTAATATGCAGGTTCTTATCCTACTGAAAAAGATGGTGAAATTAATATGACGGTGTGTATAAAAAGAAATAATGACTGCTGTAAAGATCACGTGACAATGAGAATAAAGAATTGCTCGACCTTCTTTGTTTATCATTTAAAACCCTTAAAGGAATGTACAAGTGCATATTGTATTGGTAAGACTTTTATTTATTACAACTAAAGAAAGCTTGGTAAGTGGCAAAGTTTTGAAAATGAATATTATCTTGAAAGAACAAAAGTTGAAAATATCCAGGCTTCACGATATAAGTATATTTGATGAATAGACCGTTCAAATTTTGATGCATTTTTTTTGCGTTTATTTACTCTAAACATTATATATTCTATGATAATGCAATTTATCTCATATGCGACTCGGTAAAGGGGTGCATCTTAACGTGACGTCATATGCGTTATAAACACAAAGTGAAAAGCCTCACTAATGAAAGTCTACCTTTGGGCATGAAATAAATACTTAGGAACAATTTTTTCTGTAGCTTAATTACAACAATTATTTAACTCGACGAATAAAACAGCATAATGCTCGCCCGAAGATCGTAACATATAATTGTATTCATTTCGTTCATTGTTAATAAACATCGTCTACCGCTTGCTCGGTCTCTCTTATGTAGGAATTGTGTATATAAGTGTGCTAGAATCAGGGGTAAGAGTCTATATTTAACACCTGGAATTATTAAGTTCTAAAGTTCAAATACCACAACATAATGGAAAGTGCTTTGTAGCTAATCAATCTAATCTTAAAAAGATTATTTATACCACGAATACCACACTTTATCTGTTTTATACAACGAACACAAAACTTCAAATGAAATTTATAGATAATAATTAACTTATTTTTCTAATACAGCAACAATATGTCTATAAAAAACTAAAACTTAACTGAGTTATTGTCTCAGGAATTATTCATTTATCCAAAACATAATCCTTATGATAAGGTACTGTTATTTATGCTAAGGTGCTACCTTATTCACACCAAGTTAGCATCATTTTAATTATGACAATCATTATATTTTATTATTGTTATTGTTATTGTTGTTGTCATAATTATTATCAGGAGCCGATTTATAACCTTTGTTAATTATTTTAGAGTCGGATCTACCATGTAGGGCTCCTACTACTACTACACAGACAACGACAACAGTTACAACAACACCAGAATCAGGTAAACCAATCACTATATTTTTACATATGCTTCCCTGAACACAAAAATACCTACAATGACAAAAAAGATAAAAAGAAGAAAGGAAACGACATTGTTCTACAGGTGTTTTATCACAGTCTCAAGCTAGGTATTTCTATTAAATGGAACATATACATACATTTATTTCCTTTGTGGTTACAGGATTCATCATATCAAAACTGTTAAGTAAATGTAAATATTTTGAAGTGTCATTTCGATTTCTTTTGACTTCATAATTTTTCTTTGAAAAATGATTTTGAAATGTTAGTAAGAAGGTAGTTATTTTCTGTTATCTTCTGGAAGCCTGCTGCTTTGAGGACAGAACACTTTGATAGATTGCAAATTCACAAATTTCCACATTCAGTTTTTTATCTTCGTGTATTTTAATGATTTTTTTTATTTAACGATTAGCGTCTGCTTCTTAGCTTTAACGATATAAGCATGTATATAGTATATATAGCAGTAATTACGTAAGCATTTTTATTCGTTGAATTGTTACTAAAGTCTCTTATAACTCAATATATGAGTGGCAATGTACTTTTTAAATCATGTTATATGTGTTCTATGTATATTGTTGTATGTATGTACATTGATGAGACTAAAATAAAGATTGAATATAATATACATTACAAATGATTGATTTTCTTTTTTGCATGACACCTGAGTAATTGCATGATAAACGTTTAAGGAATAACAATATAAATTACAGAAGCATTTGAATCAAGACTTAAAATGATTAAAAATAAACAGTAAATAAAACTATAACTTAGTTCTAATAATCTAATGATAAGTTATGTGTATTTCCCTCGAATAAATATTTTACCTATTAATCTAGTTGCAAAGGAAATAAATAAAAAATAAAGAATATAAATTAATAAAAAAAAAAAAAAAAGAAAAAAAAGAGAAGAAAAAAGAGCCTACAGTATATGCTAGTTGATGGCACTGGAAACATGTATGACTTAAATAGCAAAACAGCGTCGATAACAGTTTTATTTTTGCATACACATTTATGAAAAATGGCCGACTAATTAACGCTTTATAGAACTAAAAAGCAAGTTGAAGCGATATGTAATAACAAATAGAAAAAGTGGCGGCATGGCCGAGTCGTTTAACGCGTTGGACTAGTAATCTAATATCACAAATACCAGCCCATTTCCTTCTTTTATACTCTGTTAATTATTTACAATATATAACATAAAGAAATGTTCTTAGATAAAATATTTCTTATTCAAATTGTATATAATACGTTTATTCTAATGATAGCGCAAATTAACTTTAAGGTCATCATAAAACTGAGTTACCAAACAATTTCTTTTTTCAGATTTAAGAGACCAGGATATAGCTCTGATTATTGGTGTCAGCATCATTGCAGTTATTGTTTTAGCTGGGGCAATTGCATTTGTATGTAGTACAATAAGTAAAAGGTAAATGCTTATTTTCCAGCTTTAAACCTTTAGAATTTAAAGGGTTATAAACAGTCATGTTTCTATTCATCATTCAATCTTATTAAATTTTTCGTCGATATTGTATTATATTCCATAACAAAAGTATAGTAATGATTCGTATGCGAACAGCACATTGAATAAACAAGATTGTTTGTAAGCATGTAATGAGAGCATATGTACATGTAACACTGCATTTAGGGGTAAAACGTACTTAGGGGGTCCGACCCAAAGACCGTGATGTAGTTTGGGCTCAGGCCAATAAGTGCGTTACGCACTTTGGGTTCTCGTTTTGACCCCAAAGTGTGTAACACATGTACATGTGCAATTTTTAACATCTGACAAATGACGGCTTTTTTGGATCATAGCAATTAAAGCAATACATATAATTTTAGTGATATTGAAAGGTAATATCTTACAGTAAATGCCAGTGGTGAGATGAAAATAAAGAGCGAAGTAGGCCAAATGAATTAAGTCGGATAACAATAACAGACAATACTAGTAGTTATATATATAAGTTATATCCAATTTTGAGTTCCATTTAATATAGGAGGAGCCACAGGCAAAATGTCCATTTCTTCATTTTGAATTCATTATTTTGTAAATGTCCTCAAAATGAATACACTAGGCAGTCACAGGAGCAAATCTGTTCTCATTATAAAGTATTAAATGATGGTTTTCCAACCTCACCCACGCGGGTCAGGTTAGAGCGTTAAGATTTTACAAAAGTTGTCACAGTGTACTTCGTCAACGTTAAAAAACATGTCAAATAAATGACTTAGACTTGCTTTGTCAGATCAAATTACAAATTTTCCACTTAAATACTGTCTGTTAGTTGCTAAAAACCAACATTCTCATGGAAAATTTTTATTTCTCAATATAGTCCAGTGGGAACAAATACAACTTATGTTTTAATATTCGATAGCGTGCAAGAGTATCTCTCTTGTCGTGCTTTATCTTCCTAATAGTCAAGCAACTTAATATCATATCAATGTAATAAATAAAAAGATAGATATATTATTTTAATGCTTTCACATGTGGCACAAAAACAATAATACGTATATTTGTTTGAGAAATAAATCTTTTTTTTTACTTCTGATAGCGAGATTATCATGACATACTATGTTTCTGCGATATTTTTTACATATGCGTTAGTCTCTCTATAAAAAATATGTCAATTTTGTAGCGGCTGATATAGAGTCATAAGAATCTTTACCGATTCTCGACTCTAGCTTATGATTACTCCACCAAACATAATAGTTGCCAACCAATGACTATACGAACATAACATTTTTTCATCATTAACTGTAGCTCGAAACTGTGCACATATAGTTACGAACACTCCCTTTTTCATACTAACTTACGTTACCGCGCATTAAGACACACAATTGACACGAGTATCAATGGCCCATGAATAGAGAATGCGTATCGAATGAACCAATTGAATCTTAGATATCTCGCTGCTCTATGTGCCTGAGACCAGGAGATTTATACAACTCTACGCGAGACGAGCTCTTACAGACCTGCATATCAATAAATACAGACCATTATTAAGATCTCGTCACATCAAGATTATATATAGAACAGAAGACATGAAACGAATTTTTCTCACACAGCCCGAAATATGGTTAACGACGAATCGGCAAAATTTTCTCCTGTTCCCCACTTAACAGTACAAAATCAAGATTTTTTCTCACAAAACATGTTGTTCCCACAAGGAATTAAATATCAGAGAACACATACTTCAGCGACACTAACGAGAGTATCCACATATTCTGGTAAACAATATGAATCAATCCACCTCATATGTCAATGCTCATGGCCACAACTCTGCCTCTGTTCAATCTTTCTGGAATGCCCCGAGCATTTCTAAGCAACTTCTAATCTAGACTCAGAAGATCTTGATAATAATCAACGTACTTCTATTTACAATTACGTGCACAAAGACTATATGCAACCACAATACGATTATATCCGACGATGTCAACTTAGACGTCTGCGCATGGATCATCTAACCGTGTGACAATATATTATAGATGTACACATGCTCAAAGGGCTGAAGTTTAACGTATGAGATCAGATGAAGGTGAGTGTCTGCATTCTCGAGCATTTAAGTTATAATAGCGATGCAACTCGTTATACAAGAAGCTTAACTGTCTTGACTTATAAGGCCTATAAATAACTTAGAGCTCATAGAAATTAATATTTCTGAACAAACTTGTATTGTTTACAGTAATCAAGGAACACGTTGTCTCATAAGGCAATATGGTCTTCATCAGCAATGTGCATCTAATACTAGCATCTCAGTAGCGCCAATTTCATGCATAAGACATGATGCTATAGATTTTAAATAAATGATATGACTTTTTATCATGGTTTTCTCCACAGTTTTTTCATAATCTTTAGATCAAATATAGAAAAAAAATTGCTCAATATTATCTACATTGATAGAGTTTTAAAAGATGTGTACTTGTATATACAATCATATTGTGACATAAGTCCACGTGTACAACTTGATCAACATGATTTATTATTCACTTTTTATATAATCAACATTGCTATAAAAATGATTGCATATTAGTTATATTGAGCACAATTTTTAGTTATACATGATATGGTGTATTACAAAACAATACATAATAACAATATAGTATTATTATCAAGCACATGTATCACCTTCTAGTACTGATCCTTCATGAAAATTTATACATTTTTATTGCAACAGACATTCACTTCAATAATATAGTTTCAATCCACATTACTCTATCATAACTCATTTAAATCATAGTTTTCAATATTGCTAGTTAAAATAATGCAAATAAACGCACGTACAAGAAAATTGAGCGCATGCTAATCAAGTAGTTCCGACGCAAACGTGTAAGTCAGAGATTAAACAACAAGTCGCGTATTCCTCGGTAATCGAGAGCAAGGAAGTCATTAGAGAAGCGTATCTGCGACCTAATACTCAGACTAATTATCAATACTATTCATTCCATCTCTTTTTCATGCGTAATCCTATGTGATAGCTATTCGTTTTGCGATGGCAGTGATAGCCTTACTATTATGTCAATAACACTCATCAAACTGTTTATAAGCGGAAATACGTTACTCCTGTCTCTTCCTGAAAATGGCTTATTTGGTACTTTCTTCGTAGAGATGTTTTATGCGATTAGACAACGAATAAGATTACATATACTAACATATGAACTTGCTCTAGTGTAAATCTGAGGTACCTCATACTCGCTCTTGACTCGGAAATTTGCGTGTGTCTATGAGTACGAGATAGTAAAATATCCCGATTCATATTATATAATATATACCAAACTTTTGATTATGCTGAGTGGAACTTGACTACTTATAATCACACACGGGTACCGTTCACAATAATTGACTTTTACTTGAGATATACCTCCAGGACTATGTGAGATCTGATAACGAGATTATATCTTCTCAAGGTCGCAACTTAGTTTACCCACATATCCTATTTATAAGGCAGCTGGTCTTAAATATAGTTGCATGACTTAAATTAATTGATTCTCTGGTCTAGACTCCATTTCTAAATAAATTTTTTAGTACAATAAACTGTATAATCTAAGTTCCGTCTAATATTGAATATTATGGGGTGTATTAATTTCTCTAGACATTTACACGTATTATTATAATGATGAGTTAAGTGTATCCCTCGCTGTTTTGAAATATAAGTCACACTGAATAGTGTAGCATTATATGTGTATTATATCTTTTCTTGTCAAAATATTGCCCTAAAAAGTATTTCTCATGATTTATAAAATGTGTTTAAAAGCTCATCTTATTTTATTTGAATTACAATAGTCGACACAATGCATTGACATTTGAGGTACTCGTAACTTACTTGCCGCTTTATTCGAGTAGAATCGAATATGATACTAATTTGAGCATTGTATCGTCTTATAACAGACAAGAATAATAATTAAGTATGCGAATGCAACATACGAAGCTTTAATCCCCTTTCATTTTTTTATAGTGAGTACGCCCATATCATATACTTTAGCGACAAATTCTATCACAGGTTGAATAAATCTAATCATAAGATGATGCAATAGGTTTATCTGAGAAATATGCAAAAGTCAAAATTTTGCGCAATAGATCATATCGCCGGTGAGATGTCGCATATTTTTATAGTTTCTTCGAAGGTTCTCAAGATTATCAATTGTATAATTTGCGGAGAAAACCAGAGGACACAGTGTCATAATACTGGCATTAAAGAACATGAACTCTATCAATAATTTATTATTGTGTAGCAAAATAAAGATAATGTCTTAAAAGAGCAAGCACATAGACTAAATTTATAGAGAATTTACTCCGTGATCTTAAAATTATGGCCATTCAGTATTTTATTTTGAAAAGATATTATATTGGTAACGTGTGTTTTTTGTGTCATAATAGCAATAACGAGTTTTTTTTGATGCAAGTAAGCAATATTTTCTCATGTACAATATTGTTTAAAATTTTTTTCAGAATATTATCTCGATAAATATTTGTGTATATCGTAACCAGTAAGAAGTTCATAAAATTTAACCTAATCTGAGTGCAGTTATATAATGCACGCACCTATCTTATATTAGAAATTACTTAACTCTGCTAAATCATTATAAATATTATAAGGCAATATAGCCATAACTACAAGCACTAGACGTATCTATAAAAGTATTAATTGTATATCTCTCTGTCTTGATTTATTACATAACATATAATATATATGAGACGATTGTATTAAGATTCTATACATAATAACTAGCATGAAACGAGTATGTATTGCGTCAGCTATATGCACCACATAGTATATTTTATGATTATCCAAATATATACGAATTATATATTGCGCAACGACTTTACACACTACTTTACGTAGTTTAAGTGTTCAATAATAATTGACACGATAATATACTGAGCATAATAGTATACTAAGAAATGAACATATTAAAATAAAACCGTATGGGAAACGGCAAAATTGCTGTAGAGAGAATAGTTGTCGCTTTTCTAATTTACATAATATACATTTATTTTTTATTACAAACAAAAATTAATTTGCATTTGACAATTGTATACCTTTCTTTTTTAAAATTTTATCCCTCTACGTAGAATCTCAACACATTTTTCTGCTCTAATATCTTATCTACTGTTTCATGATTGTCTTATAATGAATGTAGATATATAATCAAATTTATCTTTTCCAGTGATTAGATTTCAGTACTTTGTCGTCTTTTATCTAGTTTTTTCACTGTCATCTTGTAATAAATGTCATATATATGATTCGACAATTTAGTTTCCACGGATGAATACGTGATTATTATAATACAATGCGTGAATGACATAAACTCATATGTAGATAATTGAGAGATTAGAGTGGTGATATCAATAGTTTACTGTCGTTAGCCACATTTACATATCATACATAAATAAGGAGCATTCCACTTTATAACCACAAAACCAATTGAAATGTCGTCGAAGTAATATTATTATCTCTATATATAGTAAGCGATACGTAGATCCTGAGAGATGTGTCCTACGTGTATATGATTATTTTTTGCAATGAAATTATCCTCAATCAATTCTAGAAACCACACAATTATGGCCAAATTGAATTTTTACCTATGTTAGCATAATCTTACATGTTTTCTATGGAGTGCGTGACATAAATCATATCTAGTCCACACATTCTCATATTGGATAATAATATCTTGATCTTTGCTCCAATAGTGGTCGTAATAATTAATATTCATCCTAAACGCACTATCTCAAAATACTAGTATTATTGTTCTTTCTTTAGTTAAGATAAGGTTCGTATACTACAATTATATCATCACTAACCACTATTATAGACATTATTATCTATGAACATTTTATCTTAATAGTGATAAGATTTGATTAATAGTACATGTGAGTGTGCGTTAATTTTCGAATATGACTATTATGATTTATAGGTAAATATACAATGGAAGAGGTAAATGTTTAAATCTCGAAAGGCTAGTATTCTATAAACATGGGTTCTGTATATGACGTGTGTAATATTGTTCCAATTAGTGCAAATATTGTTCAAATAATTTGTATTGAAATTCTTGTACTAAATAATACTAGAGTTTTTAGTCTGATACATATCGAGCGTTTGAATTAATTATATCTTATTTTATCCACATATAAAGGAAAAAGGTCATAGATGATAAGGTCAATCCATGAGACAATACAATATATCTCTGTTTATCCACACTCATTATTCCTTAACGATGTAATTGGTTCATATTTATATTACTTGCCATCTTATCATCAGTATATTAGCAGAGATAATAATCAATTCGAAAAAAGACAATGTGCGTGATACGATAATTAGACACTATCATCAGGTAAGTGCTCGGTTATTTCACTGAGATATAATATACTGTTAATCAAACATAACGTGCGTATTTTGTTATAATAACCATTCACTTGCATCTCAATTTATATTTAATTTGCATGTGATACTTGTGTTTGCTCAGTTCAGGTTCTTGTACTGTAAGAGAGACGTATTATATTTAGGAGCACTCTCGAGTCACCTTCGTGATAATAACATAAATTCCGACACAATTGCTATATAGTGAAGTCCATATCCTCCTATATATGCGTCTAGTATTATATTCTCTATTCTGCCTGTGAGATTTCATAATTATGGCTCGACAGAGAAAAACCCTACAATATAAGTATCCCACTTTGATATCTAGTATCTGATAAGTGAGTATTAGAATACTTCGAGACTAAGAGTGTTTCAATTGCGATTGCTTGTAACGATACAGTAAAGGCACTCGACACAAAATATTACAATCTGGAATATGTGAATGTGAATTCTTAACTATATTTAAATATGTATCATTACTCGCTTCGATTTCAATAAATTATATATAATGCAGAAACATTATAGTCTTTAAAAGTGTATTGTAAAGTGAGCGTTCTAGATTACTCAGTACTACATAGCGTCGATGTTAATAATCCTACACTCACCTCCAATCGTGTCACTAGAAATAAGTATAATATAACGTCTACAGAAATAGGCGTAAGTATTGTTTTATGTCCAATAATATGTTGTGCTATGTTGCTCAAAAATAGTGAATTATACTCTCGTACAAAATTGATAATAATAACTTTCTCCACACTATTTCAACCACTATTTATGGGATGTACAATTAACTCTAGACATTTCAAATTAGTGCTGTCGAGTTTCTATAAGTCCAAGTATCTCTAACATTGATATTCGGTATTATTTGTACAAAGTGATTTTCTATAAGCACAGATTGTGCTTTAACATTAAAATAGAACCAACCAACTATGTTGAAATATATTTATTTCAAGTGGAGCTAAAGGTTTTATCTTCCTACATAGTCTCGGCTACAAACAACCAATCCTATCTATAATAAACTCCGGCACAGCGGAGTACGTGACAATAATAAAAGCATTGAAAGCGCGTAACCTTCGAGTCTTCTCGTTTTATAACTTTCATTATTTATTCTTATGAACGCGAATATTCGGCTATCGGCTCGTCCAAGGTGATGATCTCTCTCTCACTCGATTACTACGCCCGTCTAAAAATATATTCCTGTCTGTATTGGTGACAATATTAACAGGTCAAAATGGGTGAATAATGATACTAGACGCCACATATTTAACGTTACATCATGCGTCAGACAGCGTATAGAATAATTCCATCTTTATAACAGCACCAAGCTTATTCATAGACATTTAGCGGCAAATGCGACATTGTGCGTGCACAGTTACGTACAAGGGAAGTAAGGCCTGATGCGATACAATCAACACCATGTCCTGCACACATCTAATATGTCACTATCGGATCATTTGTATCTCACACTTACCAACAAAAATCATATATAATAGATTATTTTTTGATGGTTTGTAGTCAAATATAAAAATAAATACTATCAATTTAATTATTGATGATATTACGGTCATTCCATTATGGATCAATCTATTTTAGGGGAAATTTTACAATGCAAATAATATTATTGATTTGAAACATTTTGATTTTAAGAATAAAAATTTAAAGATATTTATACAAGCTCGATTATAATACGTTTTAATATAATATATAGTTGTAATATACGTTGTCCTTTTTTTCGCTTGCCGCCAAATATCAAACCTGATGTGTTATATGTGTTGTATTTCCACTATAGATAAGACAAATTTAAGATACTATCATTTTATTTATTTTGGAACAAAGAACTATTTCAACGGCAAATAAAATTTCAAATGTAATTGTTATGTATCAGTGTTTTTGATCTTTAGCGATTTTATACGTCAGCCTGAAAATATGAAAGAATGTAAGGTAACTTCCCATATTTAAGAAACATCAAATGTATCTAGATCTGAGATTGCTTCAAACAGTGTAAACTAACACATGAAATATTACAGTGGCAATAATAGTGCATGCACGATATAAAACATACAGAAAAGAAAATTCATACATTCTTGTACGTTTCCTAATGTTCGTGAAGTAGGCAGCCTAGCAGCCTGGTAGTCTAAAGAAAACTAAGAATAGTACAAACATGAAAACAGTCTGAAATACATTGGTACCACTTCTTTAGATCATTCCACGCCCTTTTTCAATATCGTGATCTTTATTTTTAAAGATGTTAAACTTTAACATAATTTTTTCATTCTGACACTTCGAAATTTGTAAAGTTAGCAGCCTAGCTGGATAGTACAAATATGAAAACCGTCCGAAATGAATCGGTAGCACATATTTAGACCATTCCACGTCTTATTTCAGTATCGCGATCTTTATTTTTTTTAAATATTGAACTTAAAAATATTGATCAGAATCTATATCAGATATATTCTTTTGTCACACGTAGGTTCGTTTCCGCTAAATGTATTAATTTCGGTTCCTACAATGTATTACAAGTGTATCTCAGACTTCAAAAGAAATATTTTTTAAGCACATACATTATTTCAAGGAAGTTACAAGAAACGCAAACGCTAAATCAAGCATAACAACACTATGTGTGAAGATGCTTTGAAAAAAAGATTATAGATTAAAACCTATAATAAATCGTAGGGTTATAAAGACATGTATTCTAATGGAAGAAACGTAATCCAATTATAATAATCATATAATCAAGTAAATAATATGTCAGAAAAATGAGACAAAATGCAAAAAAGAAGATGAAGAAAAGAAAAAAAAGACATATAAATCAGTATGCAAGGCTGATAGGCGGGTGTTCCCCGACACTTATCACGTCAGTGACGGGTAAAAAATAATTAGGTTCCACTTTAACTGGCGCCCGTGATGTGAAAAAGTAGATATTGTGAATGTTGAAAGATACTATGATATTGAAAGAATTTCAGCAATTTTTTGGTCAATAAAAGTAACAAAAGTTACCTTACTTCTATACTGACCGGCAATATGGGACTCGTATACGCTAACTCTTCTACCTGTTAACAGAAAATTAAGGAAACAACACAAATAAAACATAGCATATTCATTTGAAATAATAAAAATGTCACTAAAATCAAGGCAAAGTTAAAAATAATGTATGAGTTTAAAGCCGATTCTTCTAAAAACATACATCATAGGACAACATTCATTTTTTTATGTAGGACAAGTACACTCCACAGGACAACATTTCACGTTTTTATGTAGGACCACACTCTATACAACGTCTCAAACATTTTCAAAAAACTACGATGATTTTCAAGGGGGCCCAAAGTTTTTAGAACGAAAGGGTATATTTTTAGTCTGTCCCAACTCTCAAATGTCCCGGGGCCTTTTGTGTTTCCTTCTGGGGTTTTTTTTGGAGCAGCGGCATTGATAACTTTTTTTCAAACTTTTTGGGGGCTGCAGATTCAAAACCCTTTCAATAAAAAAAAATAATTTGATAAGCTTGGGAAGATTGATTAAAAAAAAAATCTTACCCCTGAGTACTCTAAAATGTGGGGTGTTTAATACTAAGCCATGATCCTTTATTAAACTTGCACTGCTGTAAACTACTTTCTTTGCCTGTACATTTTATAAAAGACATCCAGAAAAGGTCATGTTTCCGACCATGGTTTCCATCGGAAAGCACAGAACCCTGTCCACTACAAGACCAAAATGTTAAGACAACTTTAATGTCTTTGTAGCAATGTAGATTTTGTATTTTCAGTTAATTTTCAAAATACCTAAAACTCTACACTTTAAATGTTTCATTTATTAACTAATTCTTCTTTTCGTTGTTTTTGTTTTCGCGTTTATCTGATTTATAAGAAAATATTTTACCTGTATCCCATCTCTCTACAGATAACCTTGGCAGCATTATCCGTATCATTATAGGCCATGCCTTGTGTTGCTATGTAACCCCATCTACCGTTGATAAGGAGTTCGACACGCCCTTCATTTTGGTTTACGCCCCCTGTGAGTCGAATTTGAGTCACATTGAACCCTGATGAATAAAAGACAAAGTAAATGTGTAAAATGAAAACATCATTCCCTGCTGTGAAAAGAAGTAGTCATGAAAATATATTCAAATATAGCTTGTAAAAATTGTTTAAAAATCATGAATATCACGAAGTATGGATTTGAGGTTTTCAAGTACTTGATTGGCCAGAAACTGCCACAGAATGTATGCTGACAAAAAAACAAGTAGAGAAACTTATAGCGTACAGCATGGATCCTGATCAGACTGCGCGGCTCAATTATTTATATCAAAAATATTTATGGTTGATCA